TTGGGGTAATTCCCCTTATAGTATTCATATCTTTAGGTTGCAAAAAAAGGCGATTAGAATTATAATGAACTCTGGGAACAGATATTCATGTAGGGAATTGTTCAGGGAACTGGAAAATTTACCCCTTCAGTCTCAGTATATATTTTCTCTTGCAATGTTTGTGGTTAATAATAAAGATCAATTTAGGTTAAATTCTGAGTTATATAATAGGAATACAAGATATAATAATAAATTCCATTATCCTACATGTAAGTTGACTGTATTTCAGAAAGGAGGGTATTACCATGGTATTAAGGTTTTTAATTGGCTTCCTCCTAATATAAGGAACCTGACTCAAGATGTTAAACATTTTAAAATAGTTTTAAGAAGATTTTTGTTGATGAACACGTTTTATTCTTTGGAAGAATACTTTGATTGTAAATTTGACTCCAATAATCAACTGTGATTATGGTATTGAATGTATTAGATTGTTATTTATATTATTATTTCTATGTAATGTTATTTGTATTATCAATGACTAATTCCTTCTCCTATATGTAGTGAATTTATGGAATGTAAATAAATGATGATGATGATGATGATGATCGGCTGGCGGTTCTTAGTCAGAAATTCAATAAAATGTGTTTTCTCAAAATTTAATGACAATGAATTATCTTCATCATTTATGTTTTTAAATATTAAAGAAGCCTTGAATTCATAATCAGCAGACCTAGGGTTAGTAATGACTATGCTAGTATCATCAGCAAAAATAACGGGTTTGGACTTGTTCGATATGATATAGGGCAAGTCATTTATATACAACAAAAACAACAAAGGACCCAGAATCGAACCTTGGGGGACTCCGTTTTTAATTTCCCCCCATTCTGAGTACCTCAGACCGTTATTCACAACAACTCTCTGATGCCTATCAGCAAGGTACGACTTAATCAAAGCACCAGCCTTATCAGCCACGCCGTAAAATTCCAATTTCGATAGTAATATATCGTGATTAACACAATCAAAGGCCTTTTTGAGATCACAAAAGATACCACCAACAAACATACCATTGTTCAAAGCATTTAATACTTCATTAACTAGTTCATACGTGGCTATTTCAGTCGATGATTTACTCCTAAAACCATACTGATCTTTAGCTAGTATATTATTATTAAGTACATGTCGGTGCATTCTTATATAAATAATCTTTTCAAAAACTTTGGAGAAAGATGTCATTAATGATATCGGTCTGTAATTAGACATATTGGTTTTATCTCCATTTTTGAATAATGGCTTTATTACTGAATATTTTAATCTGGTGGGAAAAACACCAGTTACAAAGGCTCTGTTACAAATATAGGCTAGTGGAGAACTAATAAATGGTGCACTGCATTTTAAAATTTTAACCGAGATCTCATCATATCCATTAGAGGATTTGGGTTTAAAGGACCCAATTACACTTTCAATTTCCTTATACGTAGTCTGATTTAAGTGAATTTTAGGGAATGGTCTAATAAAGGCTTGATTCATATATTTTGTATGATTAGCTGAATCAGTCCCAGTAACATGTCTATTCGTTACCCTTTTAATATTATCAGCTATAGTTAGAAAATATTTGTTTAAAGACTCAGCAATCATCATGTGATCGTCCGTAAGTTTCCCATCTATATTTAGAAACTGTATGTCCACCTTATTATTATTCCTACCAGATATTGATTTTATAACCTTCCAAGTGGCTTTAGCTTTGTTATTAGCATTAGAAATCAAACCATTATAATACCATTTTTTGATGTTCTAATAACACTAGACAAGATTTTACAATAATTTTTATAATAGGCTTTTAAATGAGGATCATTATTATTCCTCATGGTTATATATAAGTCTCTTTTATGTTGACATGATACCTTGATACCTTTTGACATCCAGGGATTATATTTAGAATCAGTCTTAATTAGTTTTTTAGGGAAACTGGAATAAAAAATACGTAAATAAGTATTTAGAAAGGAGTTAAAAATTGTATCTACGTCATTAACAGTAAAGACATCATTCCAAGTTTCATAACTTAATTGAATCGCAAATTCGTTCATGGAAGATGAACTGAAGATTCTTACAAATTGCAGAGGGCTACTACAAGTTTGTAAGTTAATGTTGTTCACATACAAAATTTGACCATCGTGATCAGATAGGCCATTTATAAAAGCATTTATGGTGTAGTTTCCAATTCTACTAAAATCCACAAAAATATTATCAATTGCAGATGCAGAACCATTAAAAATTCTTGTAGGAAAGTAGACTGTATTAAAAAGATTAAAAGAAGATAGTAAAGCATCAAGTTGCTTCCTCCTATTATTTTAATCAAGATAGTTAACATTAAAATCACCACAAACAATAAATTCAGAACTCGTATTATACAATGACTTTAAAACATTCTCAATACCATTTAAAAAATAAGAAAAATCTCCAGTTGGAGCTCTGTATATGGCTAAAACATAAATATTAACAGATGGAATTAGAAGTTTGACTGCACATATCTCTAGATCCTGATCTCTACAAAAAGCATTTAAATTCACATTTAGATAGTTAATTGAGTCACGTACAAAAATGCATACACCTCCTTGCCTGATAGATTTCCTACAATACTCGGCACCCAGATTATAATGTTCAATATAGGTATGACATAAGTTCGTATAGTCAAGGTGATGTTCAGATAGACATAGCAAATGTGGGGATCGAGGATACAGTGCACTTATAATTTCATTAGTTTTCTCCTTTAAACCACGGATATTTTGATGGAAAATACTCATCGAATTATTATTCTTAAGGCATATTTAAGTCCTACTATCTAAGGAATCTGAGTAGGCATTTAAATGTTCCATAAAAAATCATTATTTCTAGTTACTGGTAATTTCCTGTTGTGTTTAACACTGCGCTAAGTTGAAGTCAGTGTCGAAGAGGACTTGTCAATTGATGGAACAACCAATTGAGTTACCTTATCGTACCGTTCCAGGATTATAGGCTTAACCTTAACTCTTTCCAACAATAAAAATATCTGGGAGACTAACTGATTACAAAATATTTCCTTGCCTTTTGTATCATTGAACTCTCTTAAGATGATTTATCATGCATATTTTCATTCAGTTATGTCATACGGATTGATGTTTTGGGGAACCTCTTCACATAGCTCAGTTATTTTTAAACTTCAAAAGTGAATGGTTAGAATACTAATGAAGGCTAGACCTAGGGATTCCTGCAGAAAATTCTTTAAAATATTAAATATATTACCTCTGGCCTCACAGTACATATTCTCCTTGGCTCTGTTTGTGATTGCAAATAAAACTTCGTTCAGACAAAATTCTGAAATTCATAGTTTCAATACTAGGAATAATTCCAATTTTTTCCAACAAACGACTCATCTAACAATGTTTCATAAAAGTCCTGCTTATGCAGGTGTCAAGATTTATAATCATCTTCCAGATACTATTAAGGTATTAGCATGTGACATTAAAAGTTCTAAGAGAACATTAAAAAATTTTTATATGAGCATTCTTTTTATACTGTTGATGAGTTTTTTTAAGTATAAAACTAGATAGCCACCTAGACAGCATAAATAACGTTGTTATATTTTATGGTCATTTATTTATCTTTTTCTTCTTCTATGACTCTTAATTACAAACTGGTAGTATTTTATGCTCAAGTAATTTAGTGTGTTGCACCTCTATTAATTAGCACACTTTCATAAAATGATTGAACTCTCCATGACTTGAGTGCGGTAATAGATGTGCTAATATGGTATTAAAATTTCATTTCATTTTATATAGTGGATAACTTTTTATATACAAAGTTAGATAAGTTGAATTGTTAAATCCGTTTATTAATTCAGAATATTAGCTATATTTATAATCCTTTAAATTGTTACCTTGTAATATTTATATTTCTTTGTTAATCTTATATTTATTTTTGACAGAATCTTTTTATGACTGCATGTTCCGTGACTTCCTCTATATCCTACGGTTTAGTGTGTTAAAGTATATACTGTATGGGTTTATGGAGTTAAATATGATGCTGATATTATAAACATAATGGATCATAGATGTGTAATTTTTGACTGTATTTGTTTTAGTTAATATGGGTATTTTATATTAAATGGTGTAAATACAAGTGTTATAATAGGTTATTTTTAAGTATGCCTATTAAATGAAATCTTATTAAATTCTTTTGTCCTATAATATTATCTATATTTATAGATCGATGTAAGTGTCTTTGTTTTATTGACTCGTGCAATTTTGTATATGCATGTTGATGTATCTGTATTCAAAAGGACTATTTCCACATCCTGGTTTGTTAACCTGTATGGATATATATGGAATAATAAAGAATGAATGAATGAACGAACAATGCCCATAAGGTCAGGACAGGTTTAACTACTGCTGTAAATTTGAGGCTGAGACAAGCAGTGGCATCAATGGTAGTGATGAGGTTTACAGACATAAAGAACCCCTGTTGGTTTGAAAGGGTTCTGATGATGATATGTAGCACTTGGGATAGCTGTTTTTTTTTACTATGGCCATCTTACAATATTCTAAAAAAAAGAGAGTTTTGGAAACTGGATGTGTGTCTGCCTTCAGGAGGGAGACACTACTCTGTTGAGCCTATTAGAAAGAGCTAATCTCAGTCACTGAAACCAGTGGTCTGTTGGTCCAGCAATATTTCTCTTAATCATATTTCACAATGGTATATCTGAATTAATTATTAATTGTATTCAGTACAAAAGTATGTTTCCAGTGTGGAGGTGGGTTAGAATACCTCCACCATAGCCCTATGAGTCATAGAAGGCTACAAAAAGGGAACCAAGTGCCTGGGAGTATAACTGGGCCAACCTGTCATCATCATCATCAGTAATTTGTCAAGACGACACGTCCACAGTCTCTTCCAAAACAATTCCTCCACTTAATGCGATCTAGAGCTTTCTACTTTAAATGACAGTATCCTCTTCTGTCCCCAAGGTCATCCAGCATCTTCTTACGTCTTTTTCCTTGTCTTCTTGTCACTTCTATCCGCCCCTCTATCTTTCCTTCGATAACTTCTTTTAGAAGGCAGTTTCTGCATAAAACATGACCAATCCAATTAGCCTTCCGTTTTCTTATTTCGTGTAGGATATTCCTCTGCTCACTGACTCTAATTAACACTTCTTCATTTCTCACATAATCGGTCCAACTGATCTTCTCCATCCTTCTCCAACACCACATTTCAAAACTTTCCAGATGTTTCTGATCTACTGCCCTAAGTGTCCATGTTTCAGCCCCATACAGAGCTATGCTCCAAATGTAGCATTTCACTAGTTTCTTCCTCAAATTTAAGTCCAATTTGCTGGTAAAAAGATTCTTCTTCTGTCATACCTGTCATAGGGGGACATAAATACAGAGACATGGTTCTCCAATTTGGGGGTTGGATGCAAGGCTGATGACCTAGGTTTGTGGAAAAATTGTTGTTAAATCCAAAGAAGTAAAAGCCGAATGATCAGATTTAATAGAAAAATCTGGCAGAATCTTCTAAGGAGGCTGTGGCTCAAAAATGGCTGTTTTTGCAATGTTGATTACAGTGAAAGTATGCATAACTTTTTTTCTTGCAGCATAATGGTTGGCAGATTTGCACATATTACATTTTCATTATTGTATGAATCACACAAGTTGCGTTATTCTGTGCCTTGTTTGTCTGTATGTGTTTGATTGGTTCTTCTTTACTCATGCTTACTTTGTAATTAACCTTTGGGTGGTTGATCGAAGCATGTAAATAAACAATGAATTGAATGAATTATTATGGAACACTGAATGAGTGGAGAGATTGATTATATATCGTGAATTAGGAAAAGTTCATTGTAGGTATTTAATAGGTACTATCTTGGCATTCATGTGAAACGATTGAAGAACACCTTAAGATAATTCTGTATTCAAACTACAGTATTTTCCAGATTCATGTTAGATGTGATACCATGGATCAAGCCAGCCCTACTTGGTCAGAGTGCCAGTACTTACATTGTGTAAGGTTGGCGCTTTGGGTGGGTATGTAAGTCTGTCTGCTGACGCTCTGCTGCGCCATCTAGGATGCAACTTTAAATAGATTAAGGGAAAGTCTAGTGTAACAGAAAGAACATGAATTTTTGGCTTCAAATTAAGCTTCTATGTAACGTACACTGGTAACTACATGCAGCAATGACAAAATTCTGTCTCCTAACACAGCACAATACAGTCTGCAAGTTTCATTGTGTTATGAAGTTGAATTGGCTTGTATATGTTAAATCGATAACTTGAAATAATTTATTTTATGAAGTTTGTATTTATTTTTCTATGAAGTTGTAGATGATAGAATTTGTTTCACATTTACAGAGACAGCATGTTGCTAAGTTGTTAAAGACCTTTATTGTTTTGGATTGCAGGTGACAATATCCACTTTAACTGGTTCACATGTGCAGGGGAAGCAAGCCAATGGGATATGAGAGTTCACCCAGATAGTTTTATAATGAAAGGAGAAATGAACATTATTGCAGATTACACTAACATTTGGAAAAGACTGAAGAATCCAGTAGTTCTTTTTGGCAGAAATTTTGATCAGGATTCAGCATTACTGTTCCAGTCAAAATTACTGTTTCGGATAGCAACGTAAGTAAAGCAATAGTGATGAGTAGTCCCACAAAATTGTGAACTTTAGAGTGGATAAAAAATTATGTTTTTCAGATCTTGATTCATAGAAATAAGTTTGAAATAAACAGATTGTTACATGAATTTGCTCGCAACATCTGTTTCTATAATTATGCCATCATTGCTGATAAAGAACTTACTTTCATGTTTCTGTTAGTCAAATGGTTCTCAGACTGTGGTTAAGGGGTTTTTGCACATCCCCAGAGTAAATACTCATAAAAATCATAAGATTTTCAACTTTTTTTTTAATATAATGACACTGGTCAGATTTTGTCTTGGAATTTGCTCTGCATCATCATCATCATCATCATCTTGTCACACTATATTTCAGGAAAGATTTCATGATCTTGGATTCAGCACTGAGGCTGAGTTCTCACTTACCCAGTAATGTTCCAGCATCCTTGAAGCCTGGCACAGATAACTACATGCAGCTCCGGAAACAGATCTGTGAGCTTATGGCATACACCCGCAGTTATATTGCAAGGTGTGTTAAGTACAAAATCTTAGTTATTTAAATTAGTTCATAATCTGAGCAGTTGACATAAAAATAAATATGAAAATAGGAAGCATGTACAGTAGGCCTTTTATTATCCATGAGTGGATTATTTTTACAAATTAGTGTTGTGCCCATGGTTATTAGGTAGGGTTTTGGTTATTTCAAATTATTTTATTAAGTTTTAGAAATTAAGAAAATTGTGTATGAGTTAAGACTGATGAATAATCGGATGAATAACAGGAAACAGGAGTGGTATTCGTTTCCGTTAGTCAGCCGCTTCCCAGCATGGCGGAGAAATTTGTGAGACAGTCAGAAGGACCGAACATGGGCAAGTTGCTGGAACAGAAGAGAATTCAGCCAATGTGAATCATCGATTCGTACATGTTCCACGAGAACAGAAGCACTCCCAAGTTTCCATAAGGCATAATATCTTGGGGCATGGGACAGAAGGGATGATTAGGAAAAAGTCACTAGAGCCGTGGGGGCCACAACACATGTTGAGGTGCGAGGCACGCCGCCCGGAGAGAATGGCGGAGCTGCCTGAGTGAGCTGGAGTCCTAGTTGAGATGGGCGTAATAGCTGTCCAGTAGACGATACGTTAATACTTGTTCATGGTTGGCCACGGTCCAGAACTATCATTTACGAAATGTTTAGAATTAGGTTTATTCACGATTTTATTAGTCAGGTCACGAAAGCACTAGTAAGGCGTGACTCAGTGTGCTACGCTATTAAGAAGGAAAGAGGGAACATTCTTGTGTAAATCACAATCAAGCAAGACATGTCAAACGGAGACTAAGACCAGAGGCTGGATGGCCATGGATTTTAGCCAGGTAGAGTAAGTTAGTGAAACACTACATAAAATGAGATCATCATGTGTTCCGAACTACGGGACTAGTAAGACTGTCTTGGGGAAAGACTAACCCTATCCTAACCTTTGTATTATTGTAACCCACACACTTATGTAAATACTTATATTGTTTTATATATATATATATCCATATAAATTTCGTGAATTTGTGTAATTAAGAATGTCTGCATAAATATTGCCACTGTACCCTTCAGGTCCCTGAGCCGGTGAGAGACTTCTACAGGTGACCGCAGAGGGAGGTTAGGCAATCACTGTGCGGCACAACATTAGCCATGATACTGGTAGATACACTGGTGTCCAAAATAATCAAAGTTATGAATGTTTGCATAGTACCCATTCCATCTCCTTAGGTGTTTGAATGTTTCAGATTGAAGTGTAGACGCCTTCCTGGATTATGACACCTCACTGTCCAAACGTGTCTCTTCCACTCAGCATGTTTATCCACTCTCCCCTTCCCCTGACTTCCTTAATTACTTGAATTGTATTTGGTGTAAAGTATAAATTATGAAGCTCACACTGTTCCATCGTGTTGTGTAATCTGACTTGCTAAACAGTACACATACACAGTCACACAGCATGTATTTCCCATTAGAATCTAATTTTTGGTTCCCCTCCTTCCAAATTTCACAGGATATATTTCTTTTGAAGCCAGATTCTTCTAATCATCTGTACTGAAGATAAATGTATAGACATAATTTTGTATGGTTGCTATGTTTTTCTTCCAAAAGTTCTTTCCTGGCATTGTATTGTGCTTAAATACTGATATATGGGGTCTCTCTTGATAATTTGAATACAGTTGCAGTGACTTACTTTGGAGTATGAATAACTGACAAAGTGTATACTAGGCCCGTTTCTTGACACTAAACTTTACTGCCTCTTGAAATTGAATTGGTGCATTTGAGCCCTGATAGCAGAGATTAATTCATTTTTCATGGTTCAGACATATCCTGGGCATTCTGGGCATTCTGGTAACATGCAGTTGTTATTTTATCTTTGTTGATTCATATCCAATGGGGGCTCTTTCCATGGGGTAAAGTGGCTGGGGAAGCTGACCACTCACCTCCATCTGCTTTTGAGGCCAGGATGGTGGAGCTATTCATCCCACTCCTCTGTGTGTCCTCATGGCATGGTGCTTAATTAAATAAGCACAGGAACAACTGTACCTTTACCTTCTACATGTGCTATTTTCAGAGCTTGTGTCAACCTGCTGGAACATACACTAATTTTTTTTTTCATTGTCACTGGAATCAAATATGTCCCATTCTTCTCTTCTCCCATTGTCTTCCTAGCAACAGCAACAACAACAACAACAACAACAATAACCACTAGTGTTTTGTTTGTTTTTCTCAATCCTGAGTTGTATTCCATCACTAACTTTGACTCATAATCTTTTCCCTTATGAAATATGCTATTTTCTAACTGTTCAGTTGACTTCTTGAGCAGTGGCAGAGGAAAAGTTGTCATGTGGATGTGGAAACAGATTTGTATATGCAGGAGGACCTTATGTTAGGCATAAATAAACATGAAGGCTAGTGTGATATACAAAATTACAAAGAACATATTGTGATGTGACAGCGCAATGCTTGGTAAACACCCCGTACCCCTCCCCTGCAGTGATGTAACAGGGGACACCGTGGTTGCTATGCAGCAATAAACACCTCTCAGTAGCATTGCCCAGCAATGCCTTGTAAACACAGCGTCACGCAACAGGGGAGTCCGTGCAACGACTGTTTCTAGGCAATCGGTAAACAAGACGTTAAGGAACAGTGGTACCTATCACGTAACTGTTTTCTGTGTTGTCCATGCCGAGGCTAAATAAGGCGCAGCGAACACTATTTAGCAGTAAGTGATTAGTGAGTGATTAGTCAGTGAGGATTGAGCCAGTTACTAGTGAGTAACGATTAACCATCCAGTTACAGTCTAGCACTCTTCGCAGTGAATGGAAACAAGAGAAGTAATTGTGATACTGCAGATAGCAGTAATTGTGAGATTGTAAACTGTGTGATTGTAAGAGCGAGTATTCAATAAATTCACTATATCAAAGAAGGCGTGAAGTTACTTGTCGCGTGTTATACACCCAACAGGTGACAATATTATAAAAAGTGTACTTTAGTTTGGAGTGTACCTTTCTACCCTTGTTGTGTGGAGATGAAATGAACTCACGTATTTGTTCCTTATAAAATAAGAATTGGAGAATTATGGAAATAATTGTTTTTATGCAGAGTTCTTGCTGATGAGAATAGCATCTGGTTGCTGGGTAATCTGATCACATCTCTTTCTGAAAATCTCTTTGCACTGAGACTCTTGCTACGCAGCATGAGGGACCTTCCAGATTACATTATTATGCATTCAGGAAGTTCCCATGGTAACAAGGTAAGAGAAAGGACTTCTGTAATGTCATTGTTAGTACTTTGCTGTTCTAATTTTACATTGAAGTTTCCTCTGACAAAATTGTTAAAGATTAAATATGTATTCTAGTTCCTCATAAAAGTGTATATTGTAATATAAATTGTATCTTTGGTCTCTCTCCTGCATCATGTTCCAGTGCTCACAAGCTTCTTATCACCTGTTCCATGCACATCTGGACCTTCGATGGTACCACCTTACAATATTGCACCAACTGGTGAAGTGTCAGAATTTGTATATAACATTGGACGATTATCAACAGAACAGTAAAGATCACAAACTGATAGATAAGAATATACTAGAAGAGCAAGTTTTGCTTCTGCTGTCAGACCTCATTGTAATTGCAGTCACCAAATTTGAAAGGGTAAGAGCAAAATGTCTAGTAACTGCAGCTGTCAAGTATCACTACATAGATATTCAGCATAGACTGGGATCTAGAGCTGGAATGTATAGATTGACCATAGAAACTGTTCTTAAAGTGTATTTCTCTGAGAGCAGATCTAAAGCTCTAATATATGTTTACTCTAACAATGCACATTATTTTTCAGAAAGATGTTCCCAGTTATACTCTCCTTTTATGTCAGAATGATGCAGAAACTCGTTTTACAATGTGGTATTTTTTATCTTGTGCTTTAAAATTAAATTTTTGAGGCCTTTAGAAGTTCTTAGAGGTTTTACTATTCAGCATAAAGGTTACCGATTAATTTTGTGAGTTGATAAATTTGTTATCAGAAAGTATGGTCACTGACTAGGAAGTATCTTTAAATGAAGTAGAAAGATTTAACAAGTTATTCTTATCGATTCAGTTCAGGATAAATGTAAATAGAGTTTCAAATGTAATGTATGAGGAAGTATGAAAATTCTGATATATAAAAAAATCAAGTCCATAGAGTGCTTGTTTTTTTTTAATTCGCTTGGAAGGGGATGGAGTCCAACTGGGGCCACTCGGCATGGCAGCCACTGATTGGCCTATTGTAGCCTGACCCGGGTGATTATGATGATGGAGAATTTGGTGGAATGAAGATTGGCAGGGGAAACCGAAGTACTCGGAGAAAACCCGCCCTAGCGCCACTTTGTTCATCACAAATCCCACTTGACCAGACCCAGGATTGAACCTGGGCCACCGCGGTGGGAAGCCAGCGACTAACCGCTTGAGCTATGGCGCGGCCTTAGAGTGCTTGTTAGTTCACTGTAAATTGCATGTACTCAACTATATGTAAAGGGTCATTTTATTTATTCATGAATACTTGGTACAGTGTGGGGCACACAATAGCATAGTTGGTTGAGTCACTGCTATAAGCTGGGAGGTTGCGGGGGGTGGGGGTAAAGGGTGGCCAGTGCATAAGGCTGACAACCTTATTGCCATCTGTGAGCCGATTGTCCAGAGATGATGTGGGAGTCTCGACATCTCACAGCCTGTTACAGGGATAGCTTTGCCTTTTCTTTTCTGGGTCCAATGTGTGATCACAAGTGATGATTCTTTGTTTCAGATGTCATTAAATGAATCATTGAAGAAGACTCCTTTCAGCTGTACATGTGTTAGGGAATTATGGTTAATGCTTCAGTTATTTCTTGACAGACTCCATGAGGTGGAACATGGGAAAGTGAGTTACTAGTCTCATGTGTTTAACAATTACTAATTCTTTAAGCTATTGATTATAGAATGCTAAGTGTGCTGCTGTTAAAATATGTTGCATTGTGTTCCCTTTGGGAAGAGTATTTTGTTTTCTGTATCATATGCACATATATCGACTGGGTTTCTCTATTATTTTCCCAGTGTTTGGACCTGTGAGGGATGAAGCGAGCAGTTCAGGATATTGTCTAACAAGGAATTTTATAATTTTGACTTACTTTAGTTTGTGATATGTAAGATATGTTCATTTTCTTCAAAAATGGACCTGAAAATTACATTGCATCCTATACTGTTGTGCAGTTCAAAAGAAAAGTCATAATTTCTCCTTCTGAAACCAGTATGCATCACATGCACCAAATCTCTCTTATACATTGGTGCTTCGTATACACTGAGGAATACAATATACAAGTCACCTGTTACTGTTAGAGAACTCTAGGAGGCTGTGATGGTCAGTACATCTGGCTGCTGTTATGGCAGGAATTTTATATGTACTAAGTTGAGAAAGGGGCATAGTAGGTTCTATATAACTGCATAATCTAAGTTATGTTTCCTGTAGATGGGTGAAGAATTTCATTTTTACATTCTTTTGTATAATGGTGATTAAGAATGACCACAAATATTACCCGTAGAAATACACAGTCTTATGTATGTTTTATAATTGTTTGGACTAAAAGGGTTATGCATCATTATTCAATTATTTTACATACTAAAGTAATATTCTCTTAATAGAATTCTGAAACTGACAAATAGAATTTCTTTTTATTTTATTTTCCTCAGTCTTTTTGGTCATATCTGAACCAACTCTTGGATGTTGTACTGGGGAAGAAATCTTTAAGTAATACATCAGTCTACAACTGTTCTGCATTGAGTCTACCAGAAGAATATACTTGCACAGATCGAGTGAGCTTCTGTCTTTGGTTACTGGTTCATTTAGCCCAGTTGAATGGCTACACAGAGGAGGGACAGTATGTTGGTACTGGCAGTGGAAGGGTAAGTATTAATTGATAATTGTTGGGATAATATTAAAATGACTCTTAAAGAGGTGTGGTATCATGACATATTGTAGATTGAACTGGAGGAGGATATGGCCCAGTTGCAGGCTCTTTTCTGTCTTTCTTTCTTTTTTTTTAATAAAAGGTGAGGAATTTTTTGATCAGTTATTTGACTATCAGTTTCTCAAGGTTGGATCTGCACCATGTAATTTATAAGATGTCTTAATTCTGGTCCACATACTTCACTGGTGGTGATGTAACAAGCAAAGTAGGATGCTCTGTGTAAGCTCTTGTGTAAAAATAGCTTAGTTGATAGTGTTACCAGTCATGTTCCTTTTCTTGAAAGTCTGCTTTATATGGGATGCAAGGAGGTACAGTAAATCATCTAAAAAATGAATAGATGAACATCATATTCTATAATTTATATATTACATATTGATGGCTGTCGGTCCTTAAGGGTTGTATTATGTAGACTGTAAGTACTATACTTAATGTTCGGAAGCAAAGCCACACTCTTCATATCCAACCTCCTGTACATTAAGGTAAAGTTATCCCTGTAACAAGCTGTGGAGGACAATAGGACTGTGAGATGTCAAGGCTTCCATATTTTCTGCATAGTCTGCTCACAGATGGTAATGAGGTTGTCAGCCTTACATGCTGGCCACCTTTTACCCCAGGAAGACTCCTGGTACTCAGTTCTGTTAGAGGCTGAGTCCTCCCCAGGTCCATAGTTTGGCTAGAAGGGTTAGGTAAATTGGAAAATCGAATGACCTCATCTGGAATCGAACCTGTGACCTTCCAGCTTGTAGCTTAGTGCCTCAACCAACTGTGCTACCGTGTGCCCCCCCCCCAGTACAGTGAGCACTGGGGGTAAGGTGGCAGGAGTGTGAAGCGCTGACCACTCACCTCCATTTGGTGCTGAAGTTAAAGATGATACACTTCCACTCATCCGTACATTTTTGTATGCTTAATTAAATGAAGTTCAGAGATAACTTTACCTTTTACCTGACATACCTGCAATCAGTATACTCCATTAACCTTTAAGAGACGGCCATTTAAATTCCGGTAGTGGCAGCAGGGATGGATTTAATTTAAATGCCCGTCATTGTAGAGTAATAAAAATTGTAATCATGTTACTCAAAATGCTGTGATTTCTACAATTTTTCTGATAAACGAACGAAATAAACGCTGCATTTATCTAGAAAGAATATAGAATCAGTTATTGTAATTTACCGATTTTAAAATCTCTAAAAAATTTTACACTGATGCCAAAAATAATTTTTCCCTCAATTTTGAACGTCTGTGCACAAAAATGCATACAGTTTCTGCACAAAACATTTCTGCAGTCTGAATGCCTGCTGGTGACATCATGCTCTAACTATGGCTTGTGTTGCTACAGGGTCGGATGTTTACACTTCGTTCATCATTCTCCAGTTCGTAGGTTCCTTTCGGTTTGAACGAGTGTGGGCGATGTCTAATCGTTCGCAGAAACACTGACTGTGTTTTATCTCGTATAGCCAAACAAGAAGTAGTCTGTTTTGAAATATAGCCAAGCAGTGTCAGAACGTTCAAGGCTAGCGTTGTGTTTAGCTGTCCACCATGGCCTAGTATTTGGAAGACGCTGAAATTGAGAATCAGCTTATAAATGACCCCGATTCAGACTGTTGTAGCGATGACTCTGAGAGTTGCGAGGAAGAAAGTGAATCAGAAATTGAAGTCGATGAAGAACCATCATCTTTGTCGGCAACCTGGGGACCACCACACCAGCGTGACGAGGAGTGTGAATAATTATTCAGGTGGAGCTGTGGGCAAACTGTGGCAAAGAGTTATAGCATCTGTCGTCGAACCTGGAAATGGACAAATAAACTATTTTTCCATCTCCTGGATCTGAACAGTTACATCCTGTTGTCACACAGAGAATTTCGTCTCGCTCTTGTGCGGAACATGCTGGAAGGGGTCCACTTTGCCCTCAACGGCCCAGGGGTCGAACCCCTGCCGTTTCATCGGGGTCATTTCGAATAGAGGAAGCCAAACAACAGCACTGGCCGACTTCCTCTACTTCGAAATTGAGGTGTCGAGTGTGCTCTTCGCGTGGGAAACGAAGAACCATCCGGATAAAGTGCATGAAGTGTGATGTGGGGCTGTGCATTTCCGGATGTTTCCAAGATTTCCACATGAAGCCAACATTCCGTTAGACGACGCAGGTGTGAAGAGAGACAACTTATAAAGCTGGTGACCAAAAATCATATAAGTAGAAAAAGAATTTATAACTTAAAATTAGATTTTAAAAAGCCGGCCGCACGCGTGGACTGCGGGACGACATATGGCGTCATTCGTCCCCTTGACTTTATTTTAATGACGCCATATGGCGTCGCTCAGCTCTTAAAGGTTAAATAATCTATGGACCAGTGAAGCTAACAAAACATTACACATGAATTTCATGCATTGTGTGGCTGAGGTGCCCTAGAATAAGTCATGTGTTCTTAATGTCAGGTGGAGAGTAATTACCCTCAGCTTGAAGCAGCTCTCAAGAGCTGTGTGTCTGCTGACAGCACTGTGACAGAGGTGCAGTTGAGAGTCATAGTTCGATTGGTGACTGCACTTGTAACAGAATGGTGGGAGGCAAGAAGTGAACCTGTTATGATCCTGTGGGAGTATTATCACCGCCGGCTCAATAGTGCCTTTTTTATACCCGGTGCAGCCCTAGACACAATAGCTATTATGAGGTAAAGGATAATTTATAATCTGTTTATTTGCATAAATACCTAATATTGTGTTCACCTGAACAAAAACCTGAAATAGTGAAAGTTTCTGGAAAGTGTGTGTGTTTTTTTTTTAATTTACATTATTACAGCTACTGTCCTCCATTTTTTGTTGTTACCTGGGGCTGTTTCTTCGGGGAGGAAGTGACTGACGCATGAAACAAACCACTTAGTGTGACATGGTACCTAGGCATAGAGATAACTTTATTCTCATATTCATTGTAATAATGTCATGCTGCACTGTTGATACTGAAATCACTTAAATCACCAATTTCATTGTTAGGTACATAATAAAGTTCATCCATCGTAGTGACAATTCTTTCGTACTCTGAGTACAATGAATAAATTTGTGGATCTTGGAATGTAATATTTCTCTCCTACTTGGATCAGTTCTGCTGGATATCAGTATCTGATTACATAATTTTTAAACTGTTCAATAGCAGTTTCAACCTCAGAGGAACTAGGCTGAAATACTAATGGCTCAGCTGTATCAATTTCAGTCTCCTTAACATGATTAAACACTTTCAGCTGTTATATTATGAGTTTGTTGAATATTATGGTTCCACTTATTTAGTTTTTTCCCTGTGTACTTCAGGACAAATTTATTTGCTGATGAGTTAGGTGACTTCTAAAATGCTCTCCCTAAGAAGCTTTGTTGTACTGAATAGAAGAGTTCTGACTCTCTGCCATCCAGTTTACTTATAAGTTGGGATTTTTGAGCAATGTGGTTTACCTGATAATTTGAAATGTTCTGTGGTGGGTCAGTAAAACAGGTGCAGGATTATTGCAGCAGGTGAAATCTCGACTGGAAGTTTCTGAAGCAGCCCAGGATGAGGATAGTTTCAGTCTTTTCCTGTGTTTACTTGGCAAGCATCTCATGTGCTGCGTGAGTCACGGCCAGCAACGACACTGGCATCATATGAAGGGGCGTATATACTCAAAGTTCTCGCCCAACAAACTGCTTGCTCTTACTGAGTTGGGCCTCTACCATTTTGTTTCTCTGTTTCTTACATTGGCTCTGACTGTGGATTTGCAAGAAGTGGTAAGTATATATCAGCTATAAAATAACTGTTACTGTAATATGTGTAGTATGTAAGAATATTGGTATTTCAGAACTTTGCTTTATGGTGACACTTGTGTGTGTTAGTTTGCGCAAGTGAACTGCTTTAGGTGTGGCATTCTGTTGACTGAAGTAGGTAGACAGCATGATGTTTGTGTTTGCTCAACTGTGAACCGAGAAGAAGTAGTAAGTTTTTTGTGTGTGGATGAAAGGACAGTGACCAAGCTCCATTTGTTGAAAGAAATGCAGTTCTCTAATATGCAGCAGAAGTGGCAGCCACTTGCTCACTTTATGTGCTGAATTGACAGTTAGGAATTGTCACCAGTTATACATAATCATTTTAATTTTTTTGTTTATGGTTTATTGAGTCACACTGTCAGTGCTTGGTGTCTGTAATGTTGAATGATTGAATAATAGCAAATAATGAATTGGGACAGATGTGGAAGGAAGTGGCTGAGATTTTAACCAGTTATTTCCCACATGCAAGCCGGAAGCCTTTACCACTTGAGTCACCTTGCTTTTTTTAAACATTGCCTGTGAGAGAATGGAAAGCATGACAATTACATCATGAATGAGAGAATATGAGCTATAAAGCTTTCTTGATATATTGATTGTAGTGTAGTGGATGTGTGAAAAACTTGGTACATAAGCACTGATTTGCAGTTTCGTACTAATAAGCGGCTTGCAGGTTGTTGCCTACTTGTTCAAATAGAATTTTGTATCAGCTAATAGACAAAACATTCTTTCCTAAGGATTTTCCAGAGTTTGTATTCTGTTTATGGCAGTTACATTGTTTCAGACTTATATATTTGGAAGTTCCTGAAGTAGGTCAAAAAAGAAATGCTGGCTTGACTTACTCAATTTTGGCTGCCATCTCCTTCAAAATAGTCTCCTTTGGAACATATTCAGCAAACCCATCATTTTTCCCACGCTTCAAAAGCACCATGGAAGTCATTTTCCTTAATGCTGTTGAGTACCTCTTGCAATTCCCTTCGGATGTCAGACGCTGTTTCAAGATATCGTCCCGACAGTTTCATTTTCAATTTGAGAAACAAAGTGAAGTCCCAGGAGGTTAAGTCTGGCGAGTAAGGAAAATGTGGAACAATAACCATGTTGTTAGTCCCATACTCTGTGGTTTTCAGGGATGTGTGGGTGGGTATGTTGTGATGAACGAGCAGTGCAGGTCTGTTCAAATTAACTATTAAGATCCTCTGGCAAACTCCATAACTGATCCCAGTGGTGTCTGCTAGCTCATGGATTGTTCAGTGATGGTCTTCATGGATGAGTTTTCAAGTTTTTTCAGCATTTTTAGTTTTGCTGGTGCCTAGTCACCCTGAGCATTTCATCATCTTCAGCAGACACTTGGCCAGCCTTGAAACTTGAATTCCATTAAAAAACTGCTGTCTGGCTTAAAGAATGTTCTCCAAAAGCTTCACGGAGCATTTCAAGGGATGCAATAGGCTTGTGGAAATGTAACCTTGGCCTTCCCTGTCATCATCTTTCACTTGGGCAGTTACAAAAAATAAAAGTTCAGGAACTTTCTGATAACACCTCATATTTATGCACCACAGACTTAAGGGGTTAAGACAGATGGAGATATATATTTATAGGTTGTAATGTGGGAGAAAAGAAGGTAGATAACACACCACAGATCCAAGCCAAATTGCCATTCCTCTGAAATTAATATATAATGTCATTTTCAGAGTAAGAAGCTTCAAGATCTACTCAGCTTGTTGCCCATAGGGTCAATTGACCTCAATCGTCAACATGTCATTTTGAAGCTTAATTTTGCTTTGATGCAACTCTATGTTGAAAGAGGTGAGGTAACAGCATTGGAGTTAGTACTGTAATATTAAAATAAATCACTAGCAAGTGGAGGTGAATTATTTTATGCCCATGTCAACATATAAAAACTGTTTTGTATAATTAATATCAGACATAAAATGAGTAAACATAAATTATTTTGTGAATATGTAGTAAAATAATATGTTCACCCAATTTTATATGTGATAATGGTCTGTTGGTGGTGGTGAAATATCGTTTAGACATGAAACTTGATAACCGTAATTACATGTTACAGTTTTTATATATTTATGGGGATGGAAAACAAAGTAATTTGCTGGTTCTATTGAAATTATAGACAGGTATATTTACCAGTAATTAATTCAATTTTTAGTGCAACAGTTATGGTTTTTATTCCATTTAGAAGTAGGAATTAGAATTTGGAAATGTTCAAATGCTAATTTTAACAAACCTACCCACAGGATAGGAACACCCTCGGTCATTTGTCTTCACCTGCTTTTGTAACATCAAGTTTGCTAAGCATGACAAATTTCACGAGCTGAACAAGTAGTAATGCATTATTTTTTTTAATTCGCTTAGTGGAGGGTGGAGTTCAGCTGGGTCCACTTGGCACGGCGGCCACTGATTGGCCTATTGTAGCCTGTCCTGGGTGATTATGATGATGGAGAATTTGGTGGAATGAAGATTGGCAGGGGAAACCGAAGTACTCGGAAGGAAACCCGCCCCAGCGCCACTATGTCCACCACAAATCCCACTTGACCAGCCCCGGGATCGAACCCAGCCTGCTGTGGTGGGAAGCCAGCGACTAACCACTTGAGATGTGGCGCTTCCAGTAATGCATTACATCAAGATAGTGATTCTGCTTCTCTGGCCAATAATGTCATGCAATCAACTGAGGTTGAAACACTGTTGTGAAATAATTGAGATTACAATTAATTAAAATTCAGAGAAACTACTAATTTAATTCAGAATCAAAATTAACTGTCCACAGGTTATTGAATAGCTCAGATTTGTTCAGAACTGGTCAACTTTTGTTGTTTTGTTCGTATGTATGGTTTAATAACTGAAGAGTTTATTCAGATTTAAGCTATTGAAACAGTTTCGACCATATGGTCAATTATGGAAATATTACTACAGTTGCTTGCAGTTTTTCAACCCATACAAAATGTTAGAGCTGCAGTGTTTTTGGCATACTTCTGAACATCTACATGTGGTGTGCCACTGTTGTAATTCCATTTCAGTAAGTTCTCACCCCTCAACATTACATTACATTTAGAGCAGGCATGTCAAACTCAACTTGTACAGAGGGCCACCTCAGTCCTATAAATAATAGTCCAAGGCCACGCTTCAAAATATAAATATACATTACATTTTGATACAAGGAAATTTAATTCTATTTATTATTTAGGAACAATTTCAATATAATTACCTAAAGTGGAACACTTATATTTTGCCCACAAATCAAACATGTAATTTTACCTTCTATTTCACAACAGAAATAAGCGATTTCCCATTTTTCTTCAAAAACAAGGCACTCACTTTCAGTAGTTCTTTTTCTGCTAGTTGAATTTTTTGAAAGCGACATTGCCCTGTACTGTTACTGTACATATACAAGAAAACTCGTAGTTGTTAATTTAATGTTTAATTGTAACCCTTACACGTTTATCACAATGTAACATCAGCACCTGTCGCTGTGTGAAAATGAACTGAATGACAATGTACAAGAGACTACCAGACTAGTAGGAAGGTGTATCTTGTCTCAATGGTCATAAAAGTGAAAGTTTGCTAGCAGCCCATTAGACGTTGTCTGGGGGTTGCAAGCTAGTTTTGAAGGTAAAAATCCCTTGCACTTGTCTGTCAGTTGCCACCCTCCTTGCATTCTTACTATGCCTCCAAAAGGGATTATTGGAAATACTTGGGGTGGTGAGGCTGTGCGGATTTTAGTGCATTAACCTTCTGAAATACGATAGTTTGTCCTTCACGAACTTTACAAACTGTTAGTTGGACAAACCCTTCTGCAATTCTCAGAATCACTTTTCCTGCAGCCTGCTAATTTATGTCTGCATGAGACTTCATGTCTTCTGGTCTGTTGGAAAATTGTCTTTACAAAAAATATTTCTACTAAAATTTTAATATTGATTTTAATATCAATTAGCTCTAAAAGTTGAGGGGCCGCATGTTTGACACAGCTGATTTAGAGTATGTTCTTCCTGATTGTACCATCCTGCAATTCAACAAACGCCTAGTGTTTTAGACGAATATATTACCATCTTCCTACTTATTTATGGTGTCCTAGAATGTGACACCATGTAGTGTGGTACATGGATACCGTCATTTTGGAGTAACCTGTTGCTTTCATCTCCAGGGCCGAAGACTGCTTTTCAACTCTAAAGATTGGGGCATTGGGTTCCTCTGAACTCTTGGTATCAGATCTATCAAACTGCATGCTGTCACGTTACAGAAGACTGTAATCTTGATATCCACGGCCATAAGAACTTCAAATCAAACATTACATTACATTTTATAAAAGTATTTCTATACTTGCAATTTGCAGGGTTGGACATTGCAGATATAGCTTTGCCTTTGCAATCTATTGGGATGGAATTATGCACCCACAAAAGTGGGAACTCGGTGATGCTTATGAGAACTTTTGTTGAAGGAATTCAAGATATCATAGATGTCAGTCCAACCTTGCAGCTCTCTGAACACTCCCTTATAGGTAAGTTCATAAACTATTTAGTTTTGAAGTAAATAAAAGTGATATTTCTCATAGCTTTAATGTTTCTTACCTTTCTGATCCCACAAAACAGTTTATTGAGGCAGTTTATACACCTGCTTTATAGTCAGGAGGCACTTCATTCAAATCTTGACTGTGTCACTAACTACTGTAACTCTGATTTTTTTTGTAGTTCATGCATATTAATAGTGGGGTAATGTACTGAAACTGGCCACATCTTCCTTCCCAATCCTCTCATTCATTGTACCTACTTGAATGTTCTTGAGCCTTTTCCTGTCATTAAGAGTCTTCATATAGGAAGTGAGTTGAGTCCATTCAACAAAGACAGTTTACAGTAATAACTTTGGGAATTGTGTACATAGTGCATCAAATGTTTGGTACTTTCATAATACCTGCCATAATCACATTTCCAGTGATGTAATTTTGTATTATTGATTTATGGTGCTGTGGCAGAGAAGGGTGCTAAACCATTGTTATAAAGACAACTGCCAAAAGCATATAATTCTATTTATGTATGAAGTTGTACTGTAAAGTACCACTGATCTGTTTTATGTCCCCTTCACAAAAATATATGTAAAGATAGCTATTCCTGTAACAGGCCATGCAGGCCCATAGGTTTGTGAGACGACAAGGCTCTCACATCTTCTATAGGCAGTCGGCTCACAGATGTTGGTAAGATTGCCAGCCTTACAATCTGGCTGCCCTTAAACCCCCCCCCCCAGAGGAAGATTCCTATTACTCAATTCTGTTAGAGGCTAAGTCTGCCCCAG